ATGATGTCCCTCCCCGCCAATCTGTTTGCCGCCAATCTGTTTGCCGCAAATACTAGAGGTGTGAACGAGGATATTTATAAAACTCCTAGTATGTTCAAAAGGGATTTCCTGCTGATAAAAATAACCCAATGCTGCAAAGCAACCCTAAACTTCTCCTCCGTATCAAACCCACAAGAACTCCCAAATCAATATGATCACTTCAAGGTTTATATCTGTCATCAAGCATTCATCTGAAGACAAGGCACCCAATATTCCTATTCCTATCCCTAATCCTAGTCCTAGTCCTCACAAAAAGACCTCTACTTTCGATCCCTATCATAGTCAGTACACAAGTCCCCTCCCAATCAACAATGAAAGAACCAAAGAAAATCCTAACATTACCAACCCCCCTCCTCTCGCTCCCCCCAACAAACTCAAAACTCCCACATTAACCAAACTCAACCCCGAAAGCACAATAATCCCCTCCCTAACCCAACCTTCAAATTCCACAACCACATATGCAAAATAGCACGTCAGGAAAATCCCATACAGAGCCATGAGCATATATTTTGTCAGTTTAGCCGTTGGTTGCCAACAAGTCTTTTTATTTCTCAGAGCGGTCTTACAATCCCGCATATCTTCATGATTTCTTTCGGTTTTGTGATTCCGCACTGCGTCGAATTTGCAGAATGCTTGACTGAGAAACGTCTCGGCGGATGTGGGAATAGCTTCGAATTCTCCGATCGCTTGGTTAAGAAGTCTTTCGGGAGAAATAGGTATACGTGTGAGAAGAGCGCCGATTGTGTTAACGGCCTTGTTTAGGAAAGAGAAAATCATGATGGCTGTGAAGCAGGCGGAGGAGATGATGAGAAATTGTTGTGCGGAGGATGAAAGATGAGTGTCCAAAGGTGTGAAAAGGTACGCGAGGAAGTTCTCGATGCTGTGGAGGAGCGATGCTAGGATTGTGGTGGTTGTCATGTTGTCTAGTTGATGGGATGAGTTCTCGATTGTGGTTGGTTGATTTTTTTGATGAACTGGCAAATACTTTGAATGTGATGAAGTTGATTTTTGGATGGATGAGATTTTATAAACAGGATTTGATGTAGAAGTTGGAAGAGTAATAAAGATAAAGAGCTTCTTCTAGTGAAACTATGAATCTGATAAAGACTTTGCAAGCCGTATGATACCTTGAACATTGGTAGGTGCATTAGATATACTCACTTAAGTGCCGTATAAAATTCTGGCGAGAGGTCACTTGATTGTTTAGTTACGGCCAGTAATTTCAACAGGTAACTATACCCTCTAATTCCAAACATCAGAGATTCGCTATCTCGAGAGCATCAACGACGAGGCGGCCGAAGTTTTGGATGATTATTTGAAGTTGGATTCTTATTATTACATAGTTTCAGTCTCCAGCTGGTTCAATAATGCAGTGATTGTATGAGAGGGATTTCGCATTCCTTGTATGAATTAATAAAACAACAGTGGATTTGTCTATGTAAATCATGTACTGAACCATGAATACAAATCCCATCATGTAGACTAGTCGTATCCATCAACAAATACTACAGATTTGGTGCCAGCAATGAAACACACTCTGCATATCAAAATCCAAGAGTAAAACCACTACCCTCCAAAGATTTCCTTCCTAATCCAACAACATTACAGTAATCCCCATTTCCCAGTCCCCAGTCCCCACCTCAATCAAGTTCTTCCAAATTTTCAACCACATATCCCCAAATCATCCCTCCCCCTCCATCAAAGCATCTCCATGGATTCGGCTGTTGGCTTCACCGTCTACCCTGCGAATAAGACGCTTACCCCTTCCGAAAACGACAAGGTGCTTTGATATCTGTATTCCATTGATGAATAGGTCTATTTTTTGTATTTTAACTCGCTCTTAGAGACTTTGTTCAAGATCTAGAAATGCAGGTGACTTCCTTTTTTCTGCACTCGATTTTTGTGGAGATCTAACGAACTCCAACGTGTAGTGAATCTTGAGTTTTTTTCTCTCTCGGATTTTTCTCTCGCTTTTTGTGGAGATCTATCTCTATCGTGTAGTGAATGAATCCTTAACTTTTCTCTTCTCATTTCTTTTCCCTCCAATCCAATCTTACAAGTCAACACTCGAAGGTCTTCCTAGCTTTAACCAAACCCAAAGACCCTCTCGAACCCCAAATCATCTCCAATCCTCCTCTTCCCCAACTCGAAAACTGTACATACACACACAGCTATGTAAGATTACAAGAACTCTATCCAAGTAAGAACCTATCCACATAGAAATCCCACATTACGTCCCTCCCCGTTTCCGACTTGACTTCCCAAAATTACAATCCAGTAAGTGATAGTACTCGTAACAAATCCGACACCATCCTCTTTTGCAGTAACATCACTATTAAGATAATACAATATATCCACCTAACCTATCTATATCTAAATATGTGAAAATTGATTGTCATCTCAGCTCAGACTGCAAATACAAATTAGCATGATAATATGTTCCTACCATAGTTTATCTACTTAACTACCCATCCACCCATCCATCTATACAGCTAGCTAGCTAAAACAACGCAACGCCAACATCAAGACACCTCACCTATAAAGCTAAAACATCACCGATAAACAACAAAGCAGAAGAAACAAACAAAAGAAAAATCCCAAACAGTGCCCCAAAGCGTTCAAAATCCTCGTGAATGTCTCCAAGAGTCATTATATCCAATTCCATCATATTCGCATTAAAATCCAAATCCTCCCCTCTTCCAGTAAGATCTCTGAGTCTACATCCCCCTGTGACTCCATCATATCTCACTTATCCTACCTAGGTAGGTAGGTATTCAAAGACATCATTCAGCACATCCTTCAATATTTACCTCTCTCTCTCCAGCTAGATCCGCTCTCCAATTCTCAAATCCAAAATCCCCATTTCAAATCTCGACTCTCCATTCCGTATCAACTTACATTTCTTCTCTCTCCACTCGACTCCCATACCCCTGACTCTCCCCAGCCTCTTTCCCCTCCTTTCAAAATCACTAACTCCTTTCCCCTCCCATCCTCCCCCCCACCACCCCACCTCCGCACCCCCAAGCCCCCGCAACAAACCCCACAAACCCCCCCTCTATACCTCGTATTTCCTCTCTTCTTTCCGCACTCCACCCACCATCTTCGTCTTTCCATTTCCAAATCTCTCAAACTTTCGCTTCCTCTCTCTATCCCATCCTCTCTATTCAGCCTCCTCTTACAAAAGATAATCCCACTAGTCGCTCTCTCTCTCGAAGTGGAGGTTGACATTGGTATCGCATGACCACAGCCAGTATATCTGTATTGCGTTTCAATACACATCCTTCCTTAATTTCGATGTTGCTTGCGGGATGTAGGATGCGAATAGTAGTGGAGATAGTATCGTGATGTTATATGATTATGAAATGGTATATGTTGTGTATAAAGATAAAACCGAAAGCCATAAAGCTGCGTATTGCTTGTTCTCGTCACTGAAATATAATGTATCTCCGAATCTCGTAAAATTATTCGTCTATCCTATCTTCCGAGTGTAAGGCAGCGATGACGATAGATCGATCAGCTTGACGATGAAATGGTTGCCTAAATCTCTCTCATCAAGTCTTAGTCACAATTCCTCTCCTCCAACTATCTTCTCTGATCTTCTCCACTGGTAAGCTGTATACATATGACGGCGAAAATTGAGTTGAAGTATATTGATCATGTAGTGGCAATAAAGAAAAACATGTATTCAAAACGATGGGAAGAACTCTTATATATTCATTCCCTCAAACCTTTCGATGAATCACTGCACTCGCATCATTTTTCACTCACTTACTACTCGCTGCCCCAAGACATAAATAAGAACGATAGTAAATAAGAACGATAGTAAATAAGAACGATAGTAAATAAGAACGATAGTAAATAAGAACGATAGTAAATAAGAACGATAGTAAATAAGAACGATAGTAAATAAGAACGATAGTAAATAAGAATAATAGTAAATAAGAGCGATACTTTTCGGGGGAGGGATCATGTGACCTCACTAGCGCTTGCGCTAATGCCTCGGCACCATAGCATATACGTTTCGTAGCCCTAGCTTTTAGAACCTCAAGCAATATTACAATAGGTACCTAGTATAAACCATAGTACTATATTGACTTCATCATCCTCATGATGATACTAATAATATTACATAAGAACGATACTAAATAAGAAGAATACTAAACAACGACGATACTAACTAATAATAATACTAAACAACAACAACAACAAGATTCAGCTAAAAAAGAAGAGCCTCAAGCTAAACCCCTAGTAACCCAAACCACTATTTTAAAAAGCATGTATTCAAAATCCGAACAACCCTAAACAAGACCATAAGATTTACACACGCAATAAAAGCGCCCCCTGGTTCAAAATCAGCAACCTTACACCTGGTATCCATTATGACATAGGAATACCTACTTGCGAGGATGTTACTAGGTATCATCGTAACACCAGAAGGGTAAATGTCTAGACATTTGGAAATCAACAATACTAAATAAGAAAAAACCCCAATATCAGATTCACACAAGCTTTTAGGCAAAACCAGAACTAGGGTTACCCCACCCACCACCAAAGTGAGAATGACCAATAACTCACGCCCAACTGTGCGCGAGGGAGGTATCAGAAGCAAGTAAAATCAAACAAACAACACCAACTTTTATAAGAATAATCCCATCCCAGATACAACCTCAAATCCCTACATCAAACATTCCAACCATCCAATTCTCGGTAAGCCAGCAAGAAAACCCATCCATCCATCCATGCATCTATGCATCCATCCATCCAACCCTTAATTAAGCTCCTCAAGCCCTCACGCCCTCAAGCACCAACTAGAACCAACTAGAACCAACACTAATACACCCCTCACCATACCAACCAATAAGCACGATAATATCTGAACAAATCAGCAAAATCTCATCCCCTAGATAAGAATCACAATTATTCCCGAGATCATTATATGAACCCAAAAAAACACCATAAAAACAAGACATAAGCAAAGATAATCAGTAGCACCAAGAATTCACAACCACCAATCCAAGAACCAAGAACCAACACCCATCCAACCAACCAACCAACCAAACCAGCCAGCCACATACAAACAGTGATTCTTATTACTGGGTATCTATTATAAATCCTAAATCCCAATTCCCAATTCCTGAATGCTATATCAAATTCATTCCATCTCATCTCCGCTCACTCCAATTCTCACCAAGCTAATAAAAAGCCAGCCCTATCAATTTTTGCCCATCTCATCACAGCCTGTTCTTAAAATCGTAATCCGTCTTCCAGTCATGAAGTGAAGTGAAGTGAAGTATATGCTTTTCTAACATCAAAATGCCGCGCTTGCATGCTTGCTAACTCGCTCGCTCGCTGAAAGAGACAAAGCTACCCAGAATGAGAAGACTATAACCATGATCAAATTACAAGATGCCTCCCGGATCTGTACAGTATAGATAGATAGATAGATGAAATCAGATCTTCGACTACCGACTACACTAGTAGACGTAGTAGTATGTATGCATGCGAGCGAATTCTATTCGCCATTCAATTTTATATTCCCATCACCATTGATCGTCCGAGTTTCCGTCGCCACACTTTCCCCATCCCCATCCCCATTGGCATTGGCATCAGCATTTACCTCCCACCCCGGTTTCCTCCCCACCAAAACCCTCGCCACAGTTTTCAACCCCTTCGCCTTCTCAACATCCAAACTAACCCTCCTCATTTCCTCTCCACTAGACATGCATATCCTCCTAACCTCTTCTTCCTCCCACCCCAAAGCCTGCGTTAATAAACGCAACGTAGACGCTTCCAACGCGCTCAACATCGACACCAACCATAATTTTCCTATCGTCTTTTGCGTTTTATCATCTGGCCAAGGACCCATCGGAATCCCAAATTCCTTAACTTCTACATCTACAAATCCCAAACTCTTCAACTTTTCCGGCTGAAGATGTGCAATTCCACGTGGCCGTCCAGATATTCGCGCTGCTTCTCCTAAAGCGTGCAGAAGGGCGGGCATGGGACTATCTTTCTCGAAAAATGTGAGAAAAGCTGCGTGGTCATCAAAATCCATAATTTCGATCCACCCACCGGGTTTGAGATGAATAAATGCTTCGGAATATATGTGATCCCAACTACTAAATGCACCGGCCATATTCCGCAAATGCACGAGATCGAACTCATTAGCAGGCCATGTCCATCCGCCTTCTTCCTCCGCATCGTCGATTTCGAAAAAGACATTAAAGGGAACGGCTGTAGGTTGGACCTTGGCGATATCCGTTCCTATGATTTCGGCCGAGGGCCATAGATCACCCATTCCCATGGCCCAATCACCAGCTCCCGTTCCAATATCGAGAATGCGAGTCGGAGATTTGAGAGGCACGGTAGTAAGTTGGTTGTCGAAGATCTGGAGATATATTTGATGGATGATGCGTAAACGATCGAGTTCTTCCTCATCGATTGGCATATAATAATCTCCTACATAAACTCGACCGTGTTGTTGTAAATATACCACATCTGAATCGTAGAGGGAGCGAGTGGAATTTCTATAAATGTCGAATAAGTATTAGCAAATATTTATAGAGAGTGTGTAAAAATAACAAATAAGGATCTCACACTGTATCTCGATCCGTTTGAGCATGATGAAAAACAGATTTGGTATACGCAGCCCGTCTTCTATGGTCTTCAATTTCCTTCTGCACAGTTTCCCTCGCAGCAATCGCATCATTCTCCATTTCGTCTTCATCATTGTCGTCTGGTATCAGTGGGACACCATTGTCATCATCCGAACATCTCAAGTCTCCGGGAACATTTTCATTCTCATCTGGTGAACTATTTCCTCTGCCATTTTCCTCCTCCACTTGCTCCCCCATGGATTTGGGATTGGTGCAAACAGCTCCCATTGACTTTTTCCTTCTCCAATTCACCATTCAATCCAACCACCACCCTTTGTGTCGTCTGATGTTGTGTTTTATGATCTCGTCGTTGATATCCTTCGATTGGGTGATGAATATTTATATGTCGATCTTGAATCCAGCATTCGCCCGAACTCCCGTCTCCTCTGCTTCAATGGATTGTATACAAAGTCGATGCAAGATACGATACAAAACACAATGCTACTCTCCCTCACCCGCTCGATTCCTGAGACCAACGAACAAAACGCACCCAAATCGAAATCGAAAATCCCGGAAAAGCATCCGCGCGTTCCAATGAACAAACCCAGACCCAAACCCAAGAGATGGCACGGTACTTCGTTTTCCGCACTCCCACCACCAAGACTTTGCGAAGTTACCAAAGATTGTCCTGTGATCCGATCATCGAAAGCGGTGACCTATTTGAGGTCTATCGACTGCATTAGCTAGTTACTACCTGGGCACCTAGATAGCATAGCCAGCCAGCTAGCTCTATTTTTTATCTTCACTGCAGTTACCTCCGACGTTCTAGTAGCGGTCCCTAGTTAGTTGATGAGTTAGCTTCCACCAAAGGATACAAGTTCAGACCAATGAAGCCCATATTGAACAAACTTTAACACTACCTCGAACACTAACAATAGTACCCAGGTGCTTAGGATGGTAGCACTCCCGTACTTCCTACGCTTTTCCAGCCTATCTTATTGGGAGAAATAGAAAGGTTGACAGCGGAAACCCCACAAAATACCGAGAAAGAAAGGATAAATTCCACCGGAACCCAATGATAAGCCACAATCTAGCAGGTAGGTAGTGACGGATCGTTCCATTAGCATCTTTACCAAAGTTAAATCAACCCCATTTACCGTTTACTCGTACAAATCATCCAATTGGTTACCTACAAAACAGCATGTACGAAGTATGAAATGGTTATTGATATCCACCAGAACTCCATGTCCTTGGTGTTGGATTACCTGGGTAGTCACGAGTAGCTATTCGTTTGGGTGAAATGCGGTTCTAGTGTTTATATCTGTATGTTCATCTTCTTCTATTCCTGGGACAATTCGTTATTCTCTATATATGCCTACTAGAGATGTATGTATGGTTTTTGTCTCGATTTATCAATTAATACAGCACCGACTACTTCAAGAGCCTCTCCCTCCCGCAATCTAATTATTGTAAATTCTGAATTAAACATACCTAGTAGTTACTATAATATCTTTTATAACTATCTATTTATCTACTTATTATTTATTATCTATTATTTATTATTTACTATTTACTATCTACTATCTACTACTTACTATTTATTATCTACTATTTATTATCTAATATCTATTATCTACTATCTATTATTTACTATCTATCATCTACTATTTATCATCTACTATTTATCATCTACTATCTACTACCTATCACCTACTACCTCCAGCTATCTACACAAACACAAAATATTCCACTCACAGCTCAATTCAAAGTTCAATTACCTACTATCTATCTATATAGAAATAAAAATCCCATCAAATCCCACTTATCTCATCTCATCTCATCTCATAGAAACCCAACCCAGAAACCCAAACAACCAAACCCCATCGACTGCCCATCTATCAAAATCACCCCCATCGTCTTACGACCATACATACCTAGGTAGGTATATGTATATATATATATATATTCGAGTCTTATAATCATACCTAGATACATACATATATATATATACACACACACACACACACACACACACATACATAAGATCTTACACCCATCACACCCATCATATCCTCCAGATACATACTAAATACCACTACTAATGAATACCTACCTACCTACCTACCTACCTACCTAGTATACAGCATCACATACCTATACACACCGCTCTCCTCTCCTCCATTTACTAAGGTTAAGTCTTAATTAACTCTAAAAGACTCTTTGCCTTCCCAAGGGCTTCCCAAGGGCTTCCCAAGGCCTTCCCAAGGGCTTCCCAATCAATATCTTCTTCTCAATTTCCAAACAACAGACAGACAGACAAACAGTAACACAGTATATATTATATTATATTATATTATATTATATTATATTATATTATATTATATTATATTATATTATATTATATTATATTATATTATATTATATTATATTATATTATATTATATTATATTATATTATATTATATTATATTATATTATATTATATTATATTATATTATATTATATTATATTATATTATATTATATTATATTATATTATATTATATTATATTATATTATATTATATTATATTATATTCTATCAAATTCAATTCAATTCAGCCCCTCACACAGAAGGAAAGAAAAAGCAAAAAGCAGATAACCCAGTACTCGATAGACATGTAATCTCACCGTAATCTTCCCAAAGCCACTCCTCCCCTCCTCTTACTACCCGCCGCGCACCGGTACTTCTATCGATCAGTATGTCTCGCATCTCCTCACGCTTATATCAAGCGAAACCATACTACACAATCGCTCATACCAAACCCGAAGATGCGCTTATTCCAGAAACTCACTCGATAGTCCTTATCCAAGAAAGACCCGATGACGAAAATTATTCTTCCAAAAAAAAATGACATCTTTTTATTTTGTGATCAAGTATATCCTAATTCATACTTATCAATCCAATCCCATTCAATCCAACCAGAAACCCCAAGCCAATATTCATAAAGAAGTCTCTAACATCAACATCATCTATGGATGTACCACCAATCAACTAGGTCTGCCCATGGGGAATATAAAAAACGCACGCTCTAAAATTGTGTCCGATAGCCAACCCCCTAAATCATCAATCACCAATCCATTTTCTACGCCACCAAGCAAGAAGCTGAAGTGCAATCAATGCAGTGCAGGTGAGTCAGAGACTATAACCAAAATAACCTATGCTTCCACTGCTTGAGCCACTCCACCCGGAACGCCATTCAACTTCCTTTTCTTGCCCAAAATCATATTGTCATCAGCGTCGACCACCATCTCTTCTCTAAGCTCTTCAACAGGATTGTTATCGTCACCCACCACTTCCGAACCAGCAACTGTGGGGAATGGTGTAAGCACCTTGGTGATATCACCCCACCATCTTTCGCCAAATCTCTGATACCAGTCAACAGTGATCGCCATTCCATTCTCGAAGCTGGTCTTTTGATCCCAACCTAATTGTCTGAGCTTGGTTCCATCGACTGCGTATCGATGATCGTTGAAAGGTCGATCCTGAGTATGCTTGACCCACTTATGAAGCTCTTCCTGAGTGCTGTGGGGGATGTTCAAGTATGTGAGTAACTTTGAACACAATGTCAAATTGGAGATCTCATCGTATGAGCCAACGTTGTAGATCTGTCCAATTGTGCCCTTGTGAAGAATAGTATCAAATGCATCAGCTGCATCACCAGCGAAAAGATATCTTCTGGTGGGAGTTCCATCTCCATGTAATACAACTGGTTGTCCACGTTGGAGTAAACAACTGAATTTTGGAATAATTTCTATTTGATTGTCAGCCATGAAAATCAAGAAGTTGACTCAAGTACTCACTCTCAGGGTATTGATGTGGACCGTAAACATTGTTACTGCGTACAATCATCACAGGTAGCTTAAAGCTCTTCTGGTAAGAATGAACCAGCATCTCGGCTGCTGCCTTGCTCGCAGCGTATGGGTTTGTGGGTGCCAGAATGCTGGTTTCCAAAAGATCATCATCATCATCCTTGACCTCTCCGTAGACCTCATCTGTAGAGATATGAATGAACTTTTTGATCCCAACCTTTTTGGCACTCTCGAGAAGAACGTGGGTACCATAAACATTTGTATGTGTGAAGGCATATGAATTTCCGAAACTCAAATCAACATGAGATTGTGCTGCGAAATGAAAGATTGTGTCGATGTTGTATCGTTCCAAGCAGTCTACAACTTCCGATGGGTTTGTGATATCACCATGGTAGAAGGTGAAATTGCGCTTGTCGTTGAGTGCCCGGGTGTTGTTCAATGAAGCACAGTAATCCAACTTGTCGAAAGAAACAATATTATAAGCATCGGGGTATGTCAATGTCAAATGTCGTACCAGCCAACACGCACTAACAAAAGGTTAAAAATCCGTTCTGTGCTGCACAAACAGATGTGTCCTTACATAAACCCCGCTCCTCCCGTAATCATGATATTCTTAACATCTGGTAATGGTGTAAATTTGGTGCTTCCTATAAGTATAGGAGCTTCCTTCCAGACGCCGAAATCTTCGAAGAATTTGTTCTGCTCTTCATTGGCAGAAGAGGGAGCTGTGAGTGAGACGAATTAGTGAATGATTCTGGATCCAATGGCAGAGGAATAAATGGTACTGGGAGGATTCCTACCTGTACCGTTTGCAGCCATTATATTTGAAGGACGATATACGCAAATTCGAAAGTTCGATTGGAAAGAAAGTAGACGTTTCAGATGATGTTGAATTGGAATTGGAAAGATTGAATATACGAAAACACAAGCAGATGTTCGCCGGTTCCAAGAATGCGCAAGGAGGGTTTGGAGGAGCTTTATTATTTAAGGAGGCTGCAGGAAGGAAAGCCAAGGAATGTGCAAGAGACCAGACGAATTGGCAAATGCAGGGAGATATGATTATGATTAAATTTTACCAAAAGCAAGACTGCAGCAGTGGTAGATCCAATCCTAAACCAGGCTATGCTTTAAATGATGAAAAGGACATGCAAGTGAGAGTGAGCGTGAGCGCGTGAGAATGAGAGCGAGAGCGAGATTGGTAAATGGCGGCATCTGCAGGGAGAGATGGTGGGAGACGGAATCGGAATTTCTTCTGGATTATCTTCATTGCCATCGAGCCCATGTTTGAATGCCCTTGAGGATGTGATTATTTAGTTGTCAACGTGGGTTGAGTGGGTTGAGTGGGTTGAGTGGGTTGAGTGGGCTGAATGGTGGTTTGAACGGATTCAAGTGCATGGATCATGATGTGTTCACCCTGGCTAGCGAGGGAAGCTAATATCTCAGCACTAATAGAATGATCAGTTACATGTTACAAGTTACAAGTTACAACTTCATCCTGGGCACAAAGTAGTCTTCGCTCAGCTTGCTGATGTAGGTAAGTGCATACGCAAATGAGAGCTTGTATGGGAAGAACGTTCTTACAGTGGGGAGCAAGGAGTTTTGGAGGAGGGAGGAGGAGGGAGAAGGACACCTTACTTCAGCATCTACGTGAGTGAAAGCAAAGCAGCATATTTGAGATACATACTCTGCTAATGTTTGACGATGGATATCTAGATTTCTCGTACTCAATGCTGTGCTATTATGTCTTTACTCGGTATATCAGATAACCAATAACCAATAGCCAATCGCCAATCGCCGATAGCTATTCGACACACACGAGACACGACGACGAGCTGTCAACAGAGATCAGCGAGGAGAGACCGCGAACAGATGAACTCAAGCCACACTTCCATCGCACATCATATCCATTATGGATAGCTGGAGGTAGGTACCTGGTGATATGGAGAATCTAGATTACTAATCAGCCTTTTGCGATAGGGGTCAATTCAGGGCTCCAATCAAGATCTCGTAGAATATGATACAAGATCTCAGCCACCATGTAAAGGAAGAAGGATTCTGATATATCCATATGATTGATGGATTGATTACATGATCTGTCATACTTTAGATACTCTGTCCAATATAATAATCTATTTGAGATGAGATGTTTCTTCGTTTCTTATTTTCCATCTAGATCAATTACTAGAGAGGCTCACAAATCATCTACCTACTCTTGCTGGACGCGTATGTCTGTCCGAGCCTTGGGCAGGAAATCCTTATGGGATTAACATGGACTCCGGTATCCACTGAATTGAGTAGGAATATAAGGTTTAAGATTTAAGATTGTTACAGAAGTTCAAACCAAACGACGTCGATTACGCGGTCTCACAATCGAGGGGAGGGTTCTAGGGTTCTAGGGTTCCAATGGATCTCCAACATCAAAATCAAAAAGATCTCGACACCACGGTTCAATCGAATAGTTACACTCAGGAGATATACTCGAGCACAACAGACTCCACACATGAAGGGGGGAAAGATCTACATGGTAAAAATGTAGCCGAAGTTTATTCCCTAGGAATGTATTCTGATTTCTTATCCGATCTATCATCACAACTACCTAGGTAGGTATCTAGGGACCTTGATCTACAATACCCCTACACTCAATCATAACTGTGGCATGTTTTAGAATTAGCCACCAAAGGGGGCACCCAAATTGTGTCCACTCCAATTGTAAAGTCGGCATGCTCGAGGCATGTTTGCGGTGCAGTTGTACCGTGCGAGTTGTTTAAACTGCTAGCTACCCCAGTGATGTGATTCCAATTTCCAAGTAATATTAATAAAATGCTGGTGAGCTTTTTTTATCACTCCAAGGCTGTTTTCGATATTAGATTCATTTGTCTCCGGACGAACTAGCTGAAAGTTTCCCTGAAGAGTTCACTCGGGATTCTATGCCATGATAAATTCTTGTCCTCTCTGACTACCCTTCAACATTAAATATATATTACATTCTAATTAATTGGCCATCTCTTTTGGATACCGTTGAATCTGATCAACTCTCTACACGTCTCTTGATATTCTGATTACCAAGATCTACATTATGGCGGAAAGATCAACGGATCGTTTGGCTTCCATCAGCTCTGCGTCGACGGAAGAGAGATTTGACGACAAGACCGAAAAACGTGCTTTGATGGGTTCACAGGATGGAGACTACAACTTAAGGACTCCAGAGGAATTGGAAGAAGACATTGAACGAGCAGATTTACTTGCGCCACCACCAGAGGATAAACCAAAGGCACCGGAAAGTTCTGTGAGATCTTCAATAATTTGGATGGTGGTTAATACACTTGCGACAATTGGTATTGTGAGTTTTTTTCGACATCTAGAACTTCCTCACACAAATCTTAACAATTTCTTAGGTCTTCACCAACAAGGCAATCTTTTCAGATCCTTCATTGAAACTCGCACAACTCACATTTGCTGCCTTCCATTTCACAGTAACATGGCTGACGCTCTTCACACTCTCGCGACCACGGTTCGCCTTCTTCACACCCAAAAGAATTGCAGTCAAGGACGTCTTTCCACTCGCCATCTCCATGGCATTGAATGTCATTCTACCGAATTTATCTCTTGCCTTTTCGACAGTTACCTTCTACCAAGTAGCTCGAATTCTCCTCACGCCAACTGTCGCTCTTATGAATTTCGTTTTGTACCGATCCACTTTACCTAGGAATGCGATCTATGCTTTGATACCAGCTTGTCTCGGTGTAGGAATGGTTTCTTATTACGATTCACTGCCTGCTGCTGATGCCAATATCCAAACCACCAGCACGTTAGGGGTCATCTTCGCATTCTCTGGCATTTTCGCCAGTTCTCTCTACACAGTATGGATCGCCAGTTACCACAAGAAATTGCAAGTCAACAGCATGCAATTATTATTTAGCCAAGCACCATTAGCAGCTTTCATGTTGCTCTACGTTATTCCATTCGTCGACACTTTCCCTGTTTGGGCGGAGGTGCCTGTCAACCGATGGGTTATGATTTTGATGGTATGTGCTCTCGTATTAATGTTAAACTCGTATATGCAAATTGCAATGTCAGCTAATCACTCCATCTTCTAGTCGGGCGGTTTTGCATGTCTAATTAATTTGTCACAATTCTTCATTATTGCTCAAACGGGCCCTGTCTCGAGTACTGTTGTTGGCCATGTCAAAACATGTTCGATTGTCGCTCTTGGATGGATGACTTCTGGACGCGCTGTGGGAGATAAATCAGTAATTGGTGTGTTGATTGCAATTGCTGGAATTGTTGCGTAAGTTTGAACCCCTTTTCTGTCTTCCAATTTCCCTTGGGCAAACTCCCAATCATCCATTTTCGGGGATCCTAGCCGGACAATTCTTGGCGAGCGGTAAGCGGCCAGCACCCGTTTTTCCGTCTTCCACGCATTTCTTGGTGTCAGGCTATTTAAAAGTCTGCCCCTAAAGACTATCTATCATGCGAGTTCGTATTGAAGTATCAATCATGAATTTATCTTAAATTGGTTTTATGTCAAATGTCAAACATTCTTGTTAACGAAGTTCATGTATCAGATATTCAATGGTGATGATCAAGCACAAAACCCAACCAAAGAAATAAAGTGGCAAACGTTATACGTGCGTCATGTCATCTATTCCATCCATATGGGTGTGATTTCTCAAAAGAAATTTCACGGCCTGCTTCAGTAGGCGTTTCGAACTCCGAGCATCCATCGCTGTTCAGTCGGTGTTTGTTCATCCGAAGGATCGAGTTCTCACGCCCGAACTTTCCTATCTGTACAATGTTACATCACAAAGCCTTACCAAGCGGGGTTATCGACATGCGGAGGGGAGGATAGGATGTCTTATCAGGATTCTCGAGAACAGAAACGATCTTCGAGTCCGTGCTTGTACTACATTTTTTCCCATTTTTGTTCAATTAGATGGACTTTTTTTTCTTTCTAGATTCTTCTCTTGTTTGGCGCCGGAAATTGCCAAGCCGATGGATGGATGGAGATTATTTTGTATTATTATCTTGTGTTTGTTTCCAGTGATAGGAAATTGATGGTTTGATTTACGCGTTAGATACCAAAAATACATATATGTATTACTTTTTTTTAGTTTTGCAAGCGTGGACTTCTTCTTCCGTGTTATGTATGTTTGACGTACCTATGTATGTACATTTTTGATACATGCATTCATTCATTCATTCATTCATTTACCCCTTCATCATCGGCTGGCTACAATAGGAACTTCGGATATGCGAAAATGGGAAATAAATGAATAAATACCTAAACATCTAATTTGACACAACACCACCCATCCATCTATCAAATAAATAGATCATTCCATTCCTTCCTATCCATTCTCGCCATTTTCACCTTCCAACGAGTATTTACTCTCCAATCTCATCTCATTTCATCTATCCTATCCTATCTGTGTTTGTCACATAGGTACCTAGGTACCTAGGTAGTAGTAGTAAGTATCCTGGCTTCTTCAACTACCTACCTAGTATATGTATACGATATACCTACGTGAGAAGAAAGCCGGATAATGTGTATTAGTGCTAGTGCTTTAGTACCTGTCCTTCTTGACTCTTGTGAGATTTCAGCGGGTGGATTGGTTGTGTTTAGCTGGATGCTGGATGCTGGATGCTGGATGCTGGATGCTGGATGCTGGATGCTGAGTGGGATGAGATGAGTGGGATGAGAGGAGCTACCTACACACTGTCGTTCTTGTTTGGTTGAAAATTATTTCATTTGATTTGATTTGATTTGATTTGATTTGATTTGAAATCGGTATGTATTGGTTGTCAAGTTTGGATTTTGGTAGTGATGACCTTTATGCATGGGTAGGTAGGTAGGTAGGTAGGTAGGTAGGTGGATGAATCATATCAATAAGTTCCAAGGTTAAGAAAATAAGAAAAGAGTAGTAAATAAAAGCAAGTGCTTAATTGATAATTAAGATTTCGCTGTAACCTTACTCTCTACGCTTATTTATGAATGAGTCTTACAAAGAAATATTATACTGATTGATATAAGTTTATTGATATAAGTTTATTGTATTAATTAATTACAATATTGGGATAGTGGTCTCTCTCGAGAAAGGATATTTGTAGTTGAACACCTAGGGACATGTAAGTTCTTACATACGTATGTTCTGGAGATCTTGAGAATTGGAAAATTTGTATTTGTATTTGTGGGTTTGGTTTGGTTTGATGATTTGATGATCTGATGTTTCGATTGGATTTGTGTTGTGTTTAGAGATTGGAATGTGTGGTGGGATGTTGAGGATGAGTGGATGAGTGGATGAGGGGGTGAGGGGGTGATCGAAGAGCATTTGATTGTTGAGTCTGTTTCATTAATTGAGTTGTTGATTCGAGTGGGTGTGTTGAGATACTTTCACTCTTGGATGGGTTTCGATGGTTGAAAGATCTTTGATTTCTATTTCTAGTTTAATATTGAAATGTTTGAAATGTTTGAAATGATCGAAATGGTTCAATCTTCACATCAATGATTCAGATGTTCTCAATCATCGTGCCTGATTCACAATCGTGTCATAACATCCGCCAACATTTTACAATGATCTGGATTTTGAGAAGACTATCATTGTTTCAATGGTACTGTCGAATACCAAGGTTGATTTAATCACTGTGTATACTGTGGTATGGTATTTGTATATATCGATGGTTTTACTCAATTTTCTAAGCTTTTCCTGTTGCTCTGGGATTCGCAACGTGTTTTCCAAAGTTGGGGATTAATAAGCCAGCCAACAGTTTCAGTTGGATGAGTGAAGCTGTTGTCATCAACTGATACTCTCCTCCAATCGAGAGAGCGTATCCGCAAATTCCGAAGCCCTTGCAAGTTGCAAGCATGGTTTGCCTATGACAGGTAGGTTTGTGCTCTTAGAGAGCGGTACCTAAGGGGGAGTATGTTAGCAGACCGGTTCTTAATAGGGGCGGCGCCTGTTTTCAGTCAGAGCATTTGGTTATGGTGGATTGCAGCCGACGTTTTTAAATGAGCGGCCAGGTCGGTCCAAAGGTGAGAGGGGCAGTTTTGACAGAGTAGAGCAGGGAGACCGGGTCTCCATGGGGTGCTGCAAAGGGTTGAGCGGGCAAAAGACTTATTGACGTATCCATGGCCCTCGTACGTATTGCGCGGGGGTCTGCTAGGCTTGGCCGGTCAAGAGTGAAATCTCCTAGTCGAGATCTCGTTGAAAACTAAGTTCTCCGGCGTTTTGGCTATGCCGCAGGGTTATAAAGCTCCGTGTTCTTGTGTTTGAAGTGTTGATAATACGAAGTGAAGTCACTACGGGCTGTATGTACTGTTAGGAGCTTGTATAGTGTGGCTTTCGAAAGACTGAGCTCCAGCGGCTCTGTGGTACTGTATTTCAGATCTCACTTGCAGTATGCTCCGAGCAGGGTAGCCCTGTTGAGTTGCCACTATGTATTCGAGACAGTTCGAGCAAGAGATCTAGCTGCCGACCCGATCCCATTGATTACAGGTAGGACGGTTGGGCTAGAATCCATCCTGTTGCTCTTGGCACCTGTATTCGCCAAAGCATCCGCAGCCTCGTTGCCCTGGATGCCAGTATGCCCAGCGTGAGGGGCGCCGAGATCGTAAGGACGTTAGGAGGCTTGATCGGAGTGAAATCGCCATTCATGTCTATTTCTTGATTATGATGAGATGAGCGAAAATAACATGCCGTAAAGACTCGATAAGATGGTGCTTTGGAATATGCTAGAACCACCATTGGGAGGAGACTGCTTCTAGATTCAAGGTTCTAAATATGAAACTCTAAATTTTCCTCCAATGAGCTCCCGCGTCCTAAATTGGTACAAAAGCGATTTGAACTCCATCTGCACATTCTCTGGTGAACACAATCTTGTCTACATATTCCAGATGCGGACCCCTATTTTCAATCACTTTGAAGTTTCTCGCAAGCGTTGCCAAAACAAAAGCAACATCCGTAAGCGCGTTTTGTTGTGCTGGGCATATACGTCGACCTCCCATGAAAGGTATGTAATTCCAACTCTGTTTGAGTCCAGCCCATCTTTCCGGTAAGAAATCCAATGCAGTTTCGCCCCATATATTTGGATCAGTGTGGAGTGGTGTAAAAGACATACGCATTTCGTCTCCTGGTTCAACAAGGATAGGTTCTTTGCCTGAGGGACCACCTCCGTGGGGAAGGATACAAGGTACTAGGCAGGTTTTCCAACTTCCGCCAACGGGGGATTGGAGACGGAGTGCTAAGGTTTGTTAGATGGAAGATCAATTAATTTGGGCAGTTCTTGAAAAAGACATACTTTCATTTATAACAGCCTGTACATATTTGAGCGATTTGAGTAGTTCAAATGTCAGCTTCTGATCTCCGATATCGAGAACTTCTTTCCGAAGCTTCGCCCATACTTGGGGATGTCGTGCAAGCATGAAGATAATATTTCCCATGAGAATCCCAGCAGTGTTACGAGCAGGGAAGAATACATTCATAAGCTCATTCCTAATATATCGCCTATCATCTGTGATTTTTACTAGCTCCTTAAGCAAGACATGATTGTAAGGTATATCCGTTTGTACTTCGGAACCTTTTGCCGCAGCAGCTTGATTTTTGAATTCTTCGTCGATAAGCTCGTCAACTATGCCCTGAACTTCCGCACATTGAGCAAACCATTTCTTTTCCCCGATAAGAAACTTAAATCGCCCAAGCATATATCGTTGGAACATCTTCACAAGTGCCTCATCGAATAAATGAACCAGGCGATGACCAACGGTGCTGCTTTTTTCAGGCGAAAGAGAATTTGCAGATTTTCCGAATACGAACTCGCTGGAGATATCGAGGAAAAGCTTTTTGCATAGTGGTTGCATATCGATTGTAGTCCCGTCTCGAGGAATGAGATCCATGAATATTTTGACATGGGCTTCTAAGCTAGACAGCTCTGATACCTGAGCTTTGGTAAACACTAGGTTGAGTAACGAACGAGATTTCTTCCACTGAAATACAGGAGTCAGTATTTGTATGTTACAGTAATTTTTCTGATTTGCCTCGGTGTGCAGAGATTGAGACTTGGGCGACAAATGAAATCAATTCATTGTACTTACTGCGTGACCGTCGACTGTCATGATGCCTTCACCAAGGAGTGGTGAACACATTGGGTGATTCATAGGTGCTACTCCAAATTTATCAACTTCGAGGGCTAGTACAGTTTGTATAACAACAGGATCCATGGTCACGTATTGCTTCGTGCCCCAGTTGTTTGTAAGAACAGTCTTTCCGTATTTCCCTAAGATAATTCTGTCGGTTGCGAGAGAATCACCAGAGTTCATGTCCTTCAACCTCTGGAAAAACAAATCAACCCCAAGAAATGGATCCTTATGCCAGTATTTCACCGGCATCGCACACCCAGCCTTTCGAGCCGCGAGTCGATAACGGACATCTTTTACTGTCCATAACAGAAAATAAAAACACGATAGAAAAATAAGGATAGAAAACCCTCCCAACCATACAGAAGTTATGGGCAACATATTCAACTATACGAGTTGATCAGAGGATAGGCTGGGCTTTTTTGCTCGGTTGCGTGGGATTGGCGAGAAGACAATGTGGCATAAAAGATATTCGCTACAACTATTCATAGGGAAAGGAAAGGAAAGACAATCAAACTTTTCTTGAAAAATCAGACGGATTGATTGGAGTAGCGATGCTGCATATTCTGTGCCGCAATGTAAATGAATAGTGATTACCCACTGGGCAACAAAAGCGATCTTCCCCCAGCACTCATTTCGAACTCCAGTCAATCAATGCCACAAGATATCATGTAGCCTCGAACTGAAAAAGGACATTGGAAAGAGATTGTTATGATAACCTTGGAACACCTAGTATGATCGATCACGTCCCTCAGCCACATCATCCCAATATCCAAATGTCAACAGCTTCATGATAGCAACGAAAATGACCTCGGGACCCCACCATCCCACACGAGCGGGGGAGCTCATCCGTCTGTGCCGGTCTGATAAAGAAAATGGCGCAGATTGTGAACTTGGTGCAGTTGAAATTGTACTTTTGAGATTGATGTTGAATTTGTTGGCCGTTGGTTGGTGGCGTCAGTTCGTCCGAAGTTGAGCCAGGAAGGCAGCGCAGGCTCAAGTCCCAAATAAGCTTGAAATGCTATTATTCCACTCCGTATAATTCTTCACAAAATTGCGATATCTATATTCATGTTTCTTCAATAGAGAAGAACAGCTTTTAAAATCAAAATCTTCATTGAAGGTTTCAAAATAGGTAAAAGCGTCAAGAGGCAATGTATTTCACTACGGCAGAACTAAAATTATAACTAACTTCATCGCATCGCCTAGCTAGCTCCATATAGAATTTGGTAAGACTGGTCCCCAATTGAAGAAAATCCATACGCATATCCCGACGCATGCCATATGCACGAGTGTCCATACAACCCCAGATCTCAGTATGCCCTGTGCCTATTCTTGGCCCAAATGCGTGCACCATGGCCCATGGGTGAACAAAAGTGTTTTCTTAATCCCTTACTTAACAGGAACGCCATATCATTCATCCCTTGGCTAGGCTGAAAGTGGCGCAATATCATAACATTGTGGTATCAGAGCATATATTCTTTCATGCCCTCGCCCATACATTCTTTCCCGCTACATGTCTTACTTGAGTGTCCCAGGGATGAAACAGATGGCCAGCTCTCCAGCATGTTGGTTGAATTATCCTCGTTCGGTCCAAAACTGATATCATATCTTGTCAAAAATGTGGCGATGACACTACGCAGCTGCACGAGGGATAAATTATTGCCGGTACAGCTGTGGGTTCCTATTTTAATACAGTTTAACTGTTCTTGAGATTCTCAAGATAGGAGGTTATCAACATACCCATCGAGAATGGCGCAAACTCTGACTTTTTTTTTTCTGGGCGCGAGTGCAAGTCTAAGGGTTGCTCGTAGGAGTCTTTCACTGCGGATGTATGGTCAATGTTTGAGCTTTTGCAATGGGATCAGTTATACCTACATCTCCCCAGGACATATCGTGAAACGCAAACTATGACGTTTCCTGGTACATAGGTATCGACTATGGTTACTCCCTCCAACGGATTATCTCTTAGGCCACCTGTTTATCGTGCTAGATGTGAACACAGGGGTTGATTGATGATAGCTTAAGGTGATCTACCACGCAAGAATCATTTTCGATTGAAAATGCGCTGAGATTTGCTGCTGAAAGGTGGGAAGAGGCTTGTTGCCTTTCGCTTGATATCAAAAGCTTAGCACTCTTACTCAGGATCTCAATTTCTAACTTCATTTCTGAAAAAAAAAAAATCATTTTGTCTTTGGGGTTAAATGTTTGATGTAATGTTGGCATGACTTATTAATCATGGTACTTCTTGTCATGGACACAACTTACTGTGAGTGCTCGAGGAAGCATTCGTGATCACACTACTGACGCACCCTTGAGTGTGGGGATGAATTCAAAGAAGTGCCAATAGCCGATTGACCGTTGCTTAATCTGGTCAAACAGCCGTCTGATGCAAACCACCTCGGGACGTGTTGTTACAAAATCTGCATGTCGTTTGGGAAGATTCACTGAAGACCAACATTAGTATGCTGTGCCTCATACCTGGCTACACCTGGGCAGATCCACAAACTTATTTTTCCACACGTTATTAATCTTTTATTTTCTTGCCCCGAATGATTTGATCAACTTGTCAAAATAGTGCAATTCTAACACACGACACTCTCGCCATCAAAAAATTGAACTTTGCAAAAATGGCGCAGAATCCTTTAAGCGTCGTGATTGTAAGGAAATAACTCGGAATTTGATTCGAATGCTGACAGTTGTCATTCAAACAGGTTGGGGGTTCTCTCACTGCTCTTTTCCATGGAATTGTCCTTCAAAGATTGGGACATAATGTTCGAATTCTTGAACGTAATCCCCTTTCTCAGCAAATGAGTCTCGGGGCTGGTATAGCTGCCATGGAACATGCCAAAGTATTTATTGACAAATATGACGAGACCAAGACTTCATACTCTGTAACGAGTCCAAATGTCCAATATCTTGACCAGAATGTCAAAGTTAAAAGCACGTGGAATATATCCATTGCAATGACCAGCTGGAAAATTCTATATAACGTCATGAGAGCCAATTTTGACGGTTTGAAGAGTGACATCTGTGCTCAACCTCGCAAGCAAATGGAGCAGCGAGGCTCGGCTATATACGATCACGGGAAGGAAGTGACTGAAGTCGAATACAGAGATGAGCTAGTCACTGTCAAATACCGCGATACGGGAACTGCAACGTATGGGACAGTTCACGCTGATCTTGTTCTTGTAGCTGATGGATCTTCTTCAAAAATACGCCAGGCTTTGCAACCAAATTTAAAGATTACTTATGCTGGGTATGTGGCCTGGAGAGGAACGGCGCTAGAAAGCGAGATTTCAGAGAAAACGAGAACAACGTTTGCGTACAAAACGACATTCTTCGCATACAAGGGCGGCTATATTGTTCTGTATGTGATGCATTCAAGTGTTTGTAGTAATCTAACCGGGAGCTAGCTATACCATTCCAGGAGAAGATGGAAATACTTCCCCTGGCCACCGACAGCTCAACTGGGTCTGGTACAATCAACACCCCGAGAGCTCGCAGGAGTACATTGACGTGATGACGGATATCGACGGGCTTAGACACCGCAGTACCTTACCCATGGGGAAGGTAGACCCCCGAAAATGGGACAAGCAGAAAGCTCTCGCTCTCGAGATCCTCCCCGAGCCCTTTGCCGAAATGGTCCAAAAGACCACCAAACCATTCATCTCCGCCGTCAACGATCGAGAAATTGCCAAACCTTCCATGTTTGACGGGAAATTATTTTTCGTGGGTGATTCGCTTGCGACGTTTCGTCCGCATGTGGCTTCGAGTACTAATCAGGCCGCGCTGGATGCGCAGCTGCTAGAACGGTTGATGAAGGGTGAGATTAGTGTTGAGGGATGGGAGGCTAAAGTTCTCGCTTTTGCATCTTTCACGAAAGTGAGGAGTGAACTTTGGGGGGCTTATTATGTATTTGGGATTGCTACGCCAATTTTTGTGTCGACGTTCTTTCGATATTGGAAGACGGTTGTTGTGCAAGCTTTCTGGAGGCGTCTTTACGGTTAGATTTTTACTAGCTCAATGAATGGCAAATTTGATTTCGTTGGTTGGAAACTCTCGCGATTCATGGGTCAGGCGTCTCGTGTTTGAAGTTTAATCGAGAAGACTTAGAAAAGCATACTCTTTTAGAATTGACATCCATTCTATTCACCCATGCAGATGATAGGGCCAATGACTCTGGATAATTTTCCGCTTTTCTTTGAAGACGAGAGTCTGGTCAGATGATCAGAGACATGAGAACTCAAGCCTCGAATTTCGCACTACGAGATGATGTGCAGACATAGAGGATGTTTGGGAGGTATCAAGGAGGTGATAATAGGGAAAAATGTGGGAGGGGAGGTGGCATGGGAAGGAGATGGAAATGTCTTATTTGGCACGGAATATCCACTTAGATGGAGGTTTTCTCATATGAATAAAATGTACTGTATATCAAAACATGTTCCTAAATACAAATTGACACATGAGTATCGGCACCAACATTTGAACCTCAGATCTGGGCTGGAATTCGGAGAGCATTTAAATATCCGACTTATAAAAGAACATTGAGGGAGCGTTTGACTGTTCATTCTGAAGCGGTATTTTCAACTAATTTGATTATTAATTCTTGTTCATAGAGACATGATATTCAGAATATCTTATCGTCCAATCTCAATATTCAGATTTCAAATTTCAACAATCAAAAACAATAGTGTCATGACAAATACAACCTACCCACCCAAAAAAAGAAACCTGCTCCCAACCTAAATCATCCCTCCTCTATCCCTACCCCTACCCCCCAAAAACAAATCCTTCAAACCTCAACCTCAAATGCGGCGTCCGGGGTGTAGCAATCCATCCCTCGAGTAACATCGGCATCCAAGGAGAAATCTCGCCACACCGCGCCACCCGAATCATGCCCGAGACGCTGATCCTCGCTGTATGTAAGGGAGGGAAGAAACAGAGCTACCGGTAAGTTTGGAGTGAAATTCGTATGTAAGGAATAGGTAGCTGGGTATGCTTTTGATGTGTGTGTTTTGGGTTGAGAGATAGGGGAGAGGGTTTTCGACTGAGGTAATTCAGCGAGGTTGTTTTTCGTGTATTTAGAATATTTAGAATACCATGTCTTAGAAAATTGTTGCAAAATGATCGTACTAGAAAGAGTGTGAAAACGACGCCACTCTCATTCTAAATAGATAGATACATAATCTCATGGATATCATATTTGCCATAGCTCCAGCTCGATTGTTAGAAAAGCCAAAATGATCTATGATGTGTAGCCCATACATATGTGATGTTACCTAGCCCCATTTTCTATATCCCATCCCAACTCACGACGCGCCGGTAAACATGTAGAAAAATACCTAATATTGAAGTAGAGGTTGATGAAAAAGTGTCGTGAAGTGATTTCGCTTTCGCGTTACCAGGGTACTAAACCTGCAGGTAACATAGGATATTCCACTCCATCGATGATTTCCACATTCTCATCTACCTGATCGACACCTTCTTGTCCCATATCCCATCGTTTCCAATTCGAATTGCAATCCCCTGGGACATATTTGGCGGCATCCATTTTGAAAATCATCTTTACCTCGGGACAATAATCCCAAATATGTTTCCTCTTCTCGGGTGTTCCCCAAATCCCAGCATGAAGTGTGACTCCACTCCCACCAGTGTGATAACCCATCGGTTCATAAAATCCATCTCTCCAATCATCAACTCCTTTAATTAGCCCACCAACTTTTGTCCCATCATTGCCTTTCCCCTTCTTTTTCTCGGCAGCAACTCGCTCTCCTTGTCCACTGTGCATTTCTCCCGAAAATGTGAGTGAAGTCGTTCCATTTGCAAGTTTGGCCCCAGGTCGATGTCCCAATCGATCGGTGAGCCACACATCTTCTGCCTCCGAATTATCTACCCGCACTTGATTACGGAGAACGTCAACAATGGCGCTCACGCGTCTTAAACTCAATCCTCCATTTCCTCCAAACTTCCCGTTAGGATTCCAGGGTGCTCCTACCCAATCGTAATCCAGCCAATTGTTAAGACTTTGTCTACTATTTGCACAGAGCATGCTATCTGTCTGAAAAACGAGTAACCACTCTGCAGGTTGTAGGACAGTCTCATAGAGCCATAGATTCGTCAGGAATCTGCTGACCTCTTCCTGAGATCCGGTGGACATGTTGGCGGGAATATACGTCAGGTCGAGTTTTCCCGATTTGACATGCTGGCGAATTGCCCGGCTGGTATTCACAAGCGCGACAGATTCGAGACTTCCCATAAAGCGGAAACGCCAATCGGGAGGTACGACAGACATGAAATGTAATATGAGAGGAGAAAGAATTGGATTGACGCGATTTTCAATCAGAAGCGCTACTTTGGATTGATTGAATTGGGTGGGTCCTGGTGCACCATAGTCAAGAGACACCTTGGGCATCGTGGGTAGTGAGGGGAGTGAAGGACTTTCTGGTATCGAAGGTCTCAAAAGCAGAATGGAAAGAATACTTAATTAAGATCATGGTGTTAGTATATTGTGTGTAACTGAAATGTGATATGGGTTTGACTTACAAAAATATAAATACACCACCAACAACCCGCATACGTCTCGTGGTTTTCGACCATGCGACCACCACAGTTGATGATGTGGTGGCCCATATATCCTCCACAGTCATCCCACCATTTGGCGACGACATGATTGTGTTTTTGATATCGATTTTGCCGCAATGGGCTCAGAAAGCTCTTAGCTCCAGACACGTTTTAATCTGGAGGATCGAGAACTAAGCAATTCGATCATATACAAATGGATAACTGGCTAATTGTAAAATACCAATGTTAGACACGAATTCTTGTAGTAAAAAAGTGTCAAATCATAGCGATTAGAAATCCATCGTTAACATGACGCGGCCTGCAGTTTTAACTTTTGAACGTGATGTTGTGAATGGATAAGAAGCTTTTTGAAAGGAGCGGATACTATCATAGATTCAAGGGTTCTTTGCTAGTACAGAGTTGCTAGTACAGAGTAGTATGGAAGAAAAGGGATCTACATACATTTTTGGATTGACAAATCTTCGAGCAGCGTGGAGTAAAAGACTGAAAGCGTGGGATGGGAAAGTTGGTATCTTGGTAGTGTCCTAGCTTCGGCTTAGGTGGACCAAGAATTAATTAGTAGATCGTCCGGTAAATATTATATGCATAGTGGCACTTGATAACCCGCTAGTGAGGGAAATATCCATCTAACGCATATCAAAGATACAGCTTCCAAGAAAAATAACTTCATTGTATCTATTCACCACATGAAACAATAGAACTAATTGCGTATGTTCAATCCCATTTTATCCTTATAATCTCACATCCATTCAGGTACCTTACTAAACCGAGAAATCACAGGCATGGCTCATTCTTCCTTCCTTCCTTTCCTTTCCTTTCTTTTCTTTTCCTATCAAATCGATCATATCCGATCATATCCTTTCGGAATTGACATCTCGTTCCGGTCATATATTTGTGATAGAGGCTGACTGTGTTCTCTCCTTCCTTCGTGGCTTGTTAGCCCAGTCAGGAAATCAGCTCGTTTGAGATGTGCTGAGATTTGATGTGGGATGAAATGAGGGGGAGATGGATATGGTGATCTCTCTGGCCTGATTGATGTGTTTGTGGCATATAGGATTCCGAAACACGGCTGATTTTGAATGCCACAACCATTTGCTTGCAGGACTCAACTGCTGAAGTTCGTTTTCGGAAATCCTAATTTCCACGATGTCTTATGAAATGCCTGGTCTTTAAGTCGTAAAGGAATCGGCTCGTTGGCGACATCGATTCTAGAAAAAAGTATGTCGTGAAAGCTCATGAGTATCTCCTTGCACTATCGGAATTGCTATGCTATACCCCTTTTTCAGAGCATGAAAGATGGCTTTTGAATGTCAGTTCTGCCTGCATTGATCTGAGAATGCCTCATTGGAATCAAGGAGAAAAGCAAGAACTCAATGATTTGTGACGATCGTTCTCATACATATTTCCTTATCTTGCCGAAAGCATGTGAGACCTCATTAATTATTTTTTGATATGCCCTATCTCATGGCCAAGCCTTTTCTTGCAAGTGCAGACGAGTATCCTTTTCAACGTCCATTGAGCTTTCATAGCTTGTCAATTTCATCTTAGAGGTCATACATATCCGACTCGATGCTTCGGTAGCCTTCTTAGAACTGTTTGTAGAAGGATACATTCATTGGTATTCTGAGAAATTCTTCCATCAAAACCTCGTCACAGGTCATGTCGGTCGACATACAGCAACGTCAAGCTCGGAATATCGGATTTGGGGCTTTAATCCTCCTCATAATTATCTGGACAGTCAAACTCTCTAATCCGAACCACGATGCTACAAACTTTTATTCGAATCACACGAAAAGTTTCAACTCGTCGAAACTAGCATTTTCCCTTCCAAATTTGTTCTCTGGGGACGATTCAAATGCTACAACACAAGCGAATCTCGTAACGGATGAATTTGGAGATTACTTCAACGGAACAATTTTCAATAAAGTGGCGGTGATCATAGAGGATAGCTATCGTCCCGAAATTATACCTTTAGTTCTGCATTTTGGCAGTGTCCTCGGTCCAACATGGCCCATACTTATATATACGTCAATCGAAGACGTTGCCAGATTTTCCACATCTGCGGCACTCTCTCGGTATCTTAAACAAGGTCTCATTCAAATACGAAATCTCCCGCAGACTATTCTTTTTACAGACCTCAAAGCAAGAAACAAATTCATGACGGATACATGGTTATGGGAGAATCTCGCACCGGCAGAGCACATCCTGCTTTTTGACAGCGATAGCATGTTGTGTTCTAATGCTGCAACGAGTGTTGATGACTTTTTTGCTTATGACTTGATTGGAACGCCTGTCAAGGATAAGGGTCATAGGGGAGGATTGAGTATGAGGAAAAGAAGTAGCATGCTAAGGGTTCTAGAAAATTGGGACTTTGCTGACGATATGAAGAGAATAGAGGACGAGAAGAAGAGGAAAGAAGAAAAGCAAAAGAAAGAGGAAGAGCAGAAGAAGAAGAAGGAAGAGCAGAAGAAAAAGGAGGAAGAGCAGAAGAAAAAGGAAGAAGCTCAGAAGAAGAAATCAGAGGAAGAAAAGAAGAAGAAAATGGACCAGGAAATCAAAAAGAAGCTGGAAGACGAGAGAAAAAAATTGCAGGTGGAGAATCAACAGGACACCAAGAAAGAAGACAAAGGCAAGCAAGTTGATCAAGAAGCACAGGTGAATGGAAATGGAAAGGAGAATGGGAAGCAGAACAACAAGAGAGAGAAGGAGAAGGAGGAAGAACCAGAAGAAGAATTGGCAGAAGATCGATGGTATCAAGAAAAGTATGACAAGATTATTCCACTCACAGACGCGCACTAATGATATAATCTAGATTACGAAAGCTACAAGGCGACGAACAAAGTATTGGCATTGATCCAGAAGAAGATGGTGCAGTCAATTTGCCCACCGAAGAAGTCACACGTACATTCAGTGTTGAATCAATCGACTATCCACACCCATTAGGATTACATCGCGTACACAAGTGGAAAGAGGATCAGATGGATAAATTACTTGACTGGTGTCCAGAATATAGACTATGTTCTGTATCGCATCACGGGAAGGAGTTTCCAACTTTTGCAAATGGAGGTGTAGGATGGTAATATGGTATGGCATAACTGGTAAATAAGGATAGGGGTTCGGCTATTTCATTGTGAAAAGGATCTTTGTTGTATATGATATGGAGTTATGGGTGCTTAGATAGACTAATTAGTAGTTTTAATTATTTGTAATTTTTCTTCCAAATTTTGCATGACCTTGTGATCATTGTTGCTACATGTCTCCTCCTTCTACCACACTATCGCTACTGACTGATAAAAGGCATTCTTCATGGTGGCGGGAAGCCAGACGTCTAAATGAAGGGGCTTCCCACATTCCTCATAATGGCCATCATGTCTTGCAAGCAACCCCCCACAGGAACTTTCCGGAAAATGATATCTTTCATCCTCAGCTCCGGAACTAGCCATTCCAATAGAAACATTATTTCCCAATTGAGAAGATACTCGCCATGTACCTATATACCTGATATATATATATTTATATATCTATATCTTCAAAAAGAATAATCAACAGTTGAGATATATTTCCCATAATAGATCTTGACCGCATACCAAATCTCCATCGAAAAGATGCACGCAGGGATTGTAGATGTCGGGATCAGTATGAACACCGACCTAAGCCAGCAAGAGCATAGATAACAAATATTGGGGCATATCAGAACACAGAAATCGGATTAAATTCCCACGCCCTCCATAATATTAAATGCCCAAACCACGTTTTAAATTTCTTGGCTGGGGAGAATCGTAATCCAGCTTCCTGTCTTCTCGTCCCATATCACATCATATCTCCTCCATTGAGTCTCCTTCTTTTGGTAGATGAATCTACCGTGTCTGGATTGAAAGAGGCGTCATCATGCACATCCATGTAAGGTGGCAGGTCGAATCAATTTCTCAATTCTAGCCCGGTTGCATTTCTTATGTTTTGATCTTTGGGGAGTTTCTCGTTTTTGTATTACTATTGCGGAAAACAAATTGTTCTCTTGATATTCACTCATTTTGACTTTACTGGAGCTGTACTTTCTCTTCTTCCTGCTGTGTGGAAACAATGTCGTCGTCGCCCTCTCGGTCTAGTTCTTTGGGTAATGGAGTACTGGTTATTAATAAAACCAGAATTCTGTTACTGGTAACACTGATAGCAACGTAAGTCTTGCGCCCAATTCAGACCTCTCTCCAGAGACAAACTCACTTCGCAGACCAGAGAACATAATCTAATTATTCATTCTAGATGGTGGATAGCACATTTCCTCCCACGCTATCGACCAGTTGTCGAAGGACACATCAAAAACAAACTATCATCTGCCGCCGAGAAGATCCCCGCCATCAAAGTAGACTGGTATCCCAACCATGACCCGCGCGCGCAATTCAATGCCTCCAAAGTTGCGCTTCTCATCGAAGGCAGAACTATTCCTCATCTCGTCCCGCAAATCCTACATATGATTTCCGTTGTGCCACCGGATTGGCGCTTTATGTTCATCGGCACGAATAAGAGTGTAGAAGTTGTATCCCGCAGTTTCGCAACGCAATATCATAAGGCTAATGGAAAGCTGGACTTGATTGTTCTTCCTAAGCCGTGGAAGGTGGATAGTAAGGAGGATGTTTTTAGGGTGCTTACGGACATTCGATTCTATGATGAATTTATGCCGGAGGTCGAATGGTTGCTCAAATACGAGTCGGATAGTATTATGTGTGGAAATTCGGAAGAAAGTCTGAATGATTGGCTAGACTATGATTGGGCTGGCGCTCCTAGGTAAGAGATACTTTGTTTTCAAGCAATCTACTACCATTCGGGAACGAAAATTAACATATTCATATAGAATCGCCGGTGATCACTTCGCAGGCAATGGTGGGCTTTCATTCCGAAGAATTTCCACTGTAAAAAAGATACTCGGATTCCAATCCCGAATTAACAATACGACCCCCGAAGATGAGTGGTATGGGAAACGTATCACGTTATTGCCAGGAGCACGAGTAGCCAGCGGTGAAAAGGAAGACCATTTCTCGGTCGAAGACAGATATCATGAGAGACCCATGGGGTTCCATGTACGAGATGGAGGAGAGGTGCTTCCTGAGGATGTCTGGATGGACCCTGATCAGAGGAAGAAGATTTTCGAATATTGTCCTGAATTGGCGATGATAATGCCAATGAAGTTGGAAAGGCAAAGGTGTCCAGGCGACAATCGGAAAGGCGTGATTGCGAAAGACAAGAAAGATGGGCAATGAAGTCGAATTGAACTAGACAGAATCGATTAATCAAGATGGCGAAAAACATGGGATACGGTGTACGGGATTATAGATCTATGTGTTATATTAGCGAGGATGCATCATGAATACATACATGATCGGCAGGGAAATATGGATGATAACATGCCTCTACGGAAGTATATGGGGATTGGCG